CTTATTACACCTGAAATAAGTGAAAATAAGGTGAACAGAACATACCCTTGTCTTCATTTTATGATTACACTTATATATTCTCCTATTGTGTCAATTGTATAATGTCTATAGTTACTAAACAAATAAAGGGAATACTATTCAAATATATATTATTACTAAACAAATTAATAAAGTGGCACTTGTAAACATATAAGATTCGAACTCGAGACTTGAATACATGGAACTCATTTTGAATGTTGCAGTTGTAACTGAGATTGCGGGATATTCACCATGTTAACAAATTGATGCCCCAAATAATTATAGTATACATCTCTCTTATTTGCAAACTATAATATAAGTTTGAATACTATTCAAATAAATATTGTTACTAAAAAAATACAAATTTACAATCGTTTCGTTAATAATATACTTGAAATTTATTGCCCAGTTTATGTTTTAATTTCATTTTTAATTATCATATAATAATGGACTTAAACATTTCATGGATTAAAAAGCTTGATGTTTAACTCTAAACTAGAAGTTTAATTTCTTACTAATCTATTACTATGATAAATCAATGAGCTTCATGTATGTGTTGTCTTTGTGAAGAATCAAGTATTGAAGAAATATAAAACTTTCATGTTTTAAAATCTGGGAAAAATGAAGAGCATTGGAATTAATTCAATTTCATAATACAACATTATTGAAAATTTATAATCGATTTTAATTTACATTGTTAGGATGACAATATATTTCTATTTGTCTAAAAACAAATTGCTTAATGAAAAACAAAACATTAAAAAAAACTTATTAGAAATTAACAACATGAAAGCAAAAATTTAAGACAATCTAGAAAAATTAAATTATTTTTATTTTTTTAGTTTCGAGCATAAGATTCGTACAAATCTAAACAAAAGAAAATTTTATAAAACAATTTTTTTGGTCAAAACATTGCATATTCAACAGAATCTTTGTAAAAAAGAAACAAATTTTAAAGCAAAAGATGGAGAAAGTATATAATAAATAATTTACATGTTAAACAAGAACATAAAGAAATCTATAAAATAGATTAGTTTGTTTAAGCATTTCTAAATTCAATTTATTTTATTGAAGCAAACTTGAAAATAGATTTCGTTAAGCAATTACATATAAATTCTGTTAAAAAAATAGAAACTAAGTAGAACATGATGAACAGAAGAGAGAGAAGTGAGAACAAAAATGAAAGCAAAAAAAATTACAGAAAAAAATGAGATGAGAGAGAAGGGGTAGTTGAGAATTTGGATCCATTAATTATATCTTGAAAATTGAAATAGAATTTGAAATTCAAACTAAAATTTTCATTTAAATTTGAAAAAATAATCTGAAATTTTTATTTTGGGCCCCAAATTAACCACCTATCATAGGTTGACACAGTCCAAGTGTATATATGGCCCACATACACCTAGTGTATGTATAGCCTTTACGATTCATATACTTCCTCTGTTCTTTTATTATTGCACCACTTGCCTTTTTAGGAAGTTTCACAAATATTGCACTATTTCCTCTTTAAGAAAAAAATCATTTGTGTTCACACTACAAATACCCAACATACCCTTGGTTTTTCACACTTACTTTTTAGTTTATTAATATGTCACATGGACAATTTTGTATTTTTACCTTTCTCTCTCTTACTTTTTTCCACTACCAAAATATTTACACCCAACCCTTATGGTGCAATAATAAAAAAACGGAGGAAGTATATACATTCCTTAGACCATTCTCAGCAGTGAGGAAAAAAAAAACCTCTCAATCTCTCTCTACCCACTTTCTCACTCCTCCCATACAATTTCTCTCATCAAATGTTTTTTTCACCACAGCAATGAGGAGAAAAAAAACCTCTCATCACTTTCTCCTCCACTATTTTTTAATTTATTTTTTAATTACGTTTAAAAATAATTTAATAAAAATTTATAATTACGTTTAAAAATATTAATAATACTAACTGGAAATTTTTTTTATAAGAAATAATTATAATAATAATAATAACAAGAAGAAATTGGGAAAATATGTTAATTTCTCTAATTTATGGGTTTTTTTGAAAGTATATCAAAATGCATGTCTATTTATAGAGAAAAAAATTTTATGGTCGTTGGTGAATTTTTTTTTTTTTAAAATAATTACAACGGTTATATTTCAAATACAAAATATAACCGTTGTAAAAAAACAACAAAAGCAGTGGGGGCCACATGTTACTGTTCATCACCAAAAGCCCTCAACTCTTGAGGGTTTTTATTTTCACTCATCGGTGAGTGTTTTTTCACTCACTGATGTAGTGTTCGGATTTTTTTTTACACCCTTATTTTTACTCGTGAGGGCTTTTCTCCTCACTGCTGGGAGTGCTCTTATATCAACAATTCAGTGCTCCCATCACTAATAACCGACAATATATTTTCAAGAAAAAGTTGATGTCAAATTTCATTCAAAACATGAGACATGATCACACTAGGCTAGATAGACCAATAGACATGAGAATAGGATATTTCTACAGTGTCATTTTTCAATAAATGACACCACAACATAATGATGTGTCAAATTATAATTGGTCCATTTTTTATTTATTTTTAAAGGACTAAATGTACTATATAGTATATATGCTTGTAAATACATGTACTCCGTATTTTTTTTATAAAGAATACTGTACATCATTATACGAGTAGTTTTTTTTTTTTAACAAATCATTTCCAAAAATTAAATTAAAATTAAAATTAAAATTCTGAAAATCAAACTTAAAAAAGCAAATCAAATATTTAGTGTGTGTTCATCATCGTTAATGGCCATTTTTTTTATGATCTCTCTCCTGGGCAATTAGGGTGCAGCGATTAGGTTGCAGTTCCCGACGAATCCTCCGGCGCACGTGGATCCGGCGAAGGTTCAAGGCAGCGGCTCAAGGTTTCGACGAATTTTCAAGCGGTTTTAGGCGTATTTTGGGTGCGTTTTTTGGTGCTTTTTTAGGGGTCTTTCTGGGAGGGTTTCTGGTGCGGTTTTCAGGCGACATTATAGGCATTCCGGCATGGCAGTTCTTGGACTATTTGGTGACGGTTTTAGGATCGGTTTTGGTCAATCTCAGGAAGGTTTCAGGCGACTTTCCCGGGAAGGATTAAGGATATAGTCACTTTTCCGGCAATTTCCAGGCAATGTTACTGACTGTCATTCTTCTTCTCTAGAAGCATTCCATGATCTTGATTTTTAATTATAAGTATATTTTCAAAATTTTATTAATATTATAAAATAGATTTTCACAAAGATGATGAATGATATGATGAACGATGATGAACAATTTTGATGTAGATGATGAACGAATTTAATTTTATGATTTCTAATTATAATTAAAAATTCGAAAATTAATTTTTATTATAAAATTAGATTTTTCATAATTTATAATTTTTTATTAAAAAGAATAAAAAAAACAATTTGAATACATTATGGACATTAAAAATAATTCAAAAAGAAAATAAAAACACAAAATACAGGCCAATCAGATTTTGCCACATCAGCAAGTTGTGGTGTCATTTTAAAAAAATGACATTATAGAATTTTTAATTTACATGAGAATATAGCTGATCTCAACAGTCAATTGCCTTATTTTTCTGACAACCACCATTACATACAATTATACAAGGATCACTATCAACATGAACAGAATAATAAGTAACAAGATAAAAAAAAAGAATAAAGGAAAAGAATAAATTCAATAAGAAAAGCGACATAATATTATATTATGTGAAACTTAGGAATATTTTATATCTTACAAATCATACAAAAAATTGCACATAATATGCAAAGGAGGTTGTTTTTGGAAACAGTATACTCCTCAGGTATTAAGGTAATAATATCAAGATGCCTTAGAGACTAAGTTCAATGAATGTTCAAATGTTCTTCAGCTCCGCTTAGCAAGGGTATATCTGAGGGCTCCACCTTGATGTCCGAGAGCTCGGCCTGCAAAACAAATAAGGTTAGCTGCCCGAGGGGGTGTGACCCGGGAAAACCCCTTCGATGCTTAAGTCAGCAAATATGCTTTCTAGAGAGAGAAAGTAGAGAAAGAATGAGAGAGAATTAGGAAAAAAGTTTTCATCATTAATAATTGGAGAGCTATTTATAGATGTACTTATCTGGTGGCAAAGTTGTATTTGTGTGGAGCCGGGCCCACGGTATGGGACCTCTAATGGTTTGAGTATATTGCCAGGCCAAAAGTTGGGGACCTTTAATGACATTAAGTATTCTGGGCCAAATTGAATCGGATCAAGTGATCATTGAGTTAAATGGACCTTACATGTGAGGGGGAGTGTTGAAGATTATCCTACATTTAACACATGTAAGTGTCATTCGTTGATAAAAAGAAGAGAGAGTTAAACACTTTGTAAGGCTAAGGGTCTAATCCTCCTATTGCCATATGGTTTTGGGATGAAACCTCCTTGGATTTGTGAAGTGGACTCTCTCTCTCTTGGTTTGCGGGTACGGCCCAGACCCGCATTTAATACTAATTACAACTTTATTTCATGTCAAGAGAATATAATCTCCAGTTTCGATAGCGAGTTGCCCTAATTTTAGGAACAACCAATTTACATACACTTAATACAAGGATTAGTAGAAACAAAAATACAAAAATAATATGCTAACAAAGAGATTAATAATTGGAAAAGAACAAATACAACAAGAAAAGCAAGATAGAAGAGCAAAGAAGCAGCAATGCATCCTTCTATACTAACACTTAAATAATTTCTTCTTTTTATCTTAACTAGGACTCTTCCTTGAGACCTTGACCTCGAAACCATTGATGAATCGATACCAAATGATCCAACTCCTTCACAAATATGCATAAACCAAATCAACCTAACACACACAAAGTAAGAAATGAAAATAGATATTCCTTGTTTCTTAAAGTTTTCTGGTTTGACTTTTTTGTGCGACAATCACTCTATAATTAATCAAGAATAACTTTTTGAAACAGAGGGAGTATTTATCTATGTTCATGCATATCATGCTTATTTTTTTCTAAGTAAAATCGTAACAGAATAGTGTTTTGCAGCTTGATCTTGAGCCAAATACTGGTATGCATAATATTTAAACTTCTCATATAAAGGGGTAATTATCTCTTCACCAAAATGATGCGAAAGTACTGATTCTGTGTATGCTCTAACGAGGTTCGTAATTATCTGAGATCTTTCCCATTTGTCCTCAATTTCAGGTACCATATCAAGTTCCGTTGTCACTGAATGTTCGACTAAAAATGACCCTTCCTTCTGCACTATGCTTCCAAGTTCATCTGTGTTTGCCAAATACAACGGAAACTCAAAATTGTCTAGCTTCTCTTCCTTGATTACTCCCTGAAAAATATTCATTGTAAGCTATCATTAATAACTTCTTCTGGCTTATTCGAAAAAAAAAATTTATCTACAGATCTACTCCATATGATACATATAATAGAATTAAAATACTACCTCTGTTTCATACTACGTATTTACTACCTCCGTTACAGGTTATATGCAACGATTATACATTTTCCTTCTCTGCTTTATGTTGGAATTTTAAAACAAAGAAGTTACGGTGTTTATTCTTTTGACTGTTGGGATTTATTGGCTATTGGAATCCCTTAATTTTAGCTTCCTCTTATTGCTAATTTAATGGGCATTATTGCTGATTAATGTTGTCACTTAAAGACTAGCCGTTACCCCTTTTAATGTTGATAAAAGCTAGCTCTTATTGGGGATTAATGGGTGGATGTTACACCACTTGATTGACGACCATTTTCCCCTTAATTGTTAGTTGTTTTTACTCCCTCCAATGCCTTATAAATAAACCTTATTGACCTCCGAAAGAAAAACAACAATCAGTCTTCTCTCTTTTCTAAATATATCTAAACACGAATTCATTCTGTTCTGTTTTCTGGGCAAGTATTCTGAGTTCCAGTCTGGTTTTTGAGTGCACATAAACTCCGGCGCTGTGCTTATCCTAGAGGGCGACCGCTTCTAGTCTACTGCACCGGGAGGTAGCGCGGAATTGTCTTTTAGGTCGGTGGTTCACCACAACACGGCAATTGTCAATTGGTCTACACAACATTAAGATAAGTATTTTCTGTTTAATTTGCTTATTTACTAACACTTTATGTCAAATCGTTACACATAACCTGTAACGGAGGTAGTATCATGTTGTCTTTCATACCATACTTAGTTTCATTACCAAGATCCTTAGGAATTTTTTTATTTGATTTTGAAACAATTTATTTTATCTAATATATTGTGCAAGTCTATGTACGGATATTAGGGTATGGGTAAGTTGACTAGGGAGTAGGGACGAGCCGACGAGGTCTTATGGGTCGTGGGTAGGGTTTGGGTAGAATATGGCTCAAAAAACATTATATCCAGACTCGTGTCCTACTCAATGCCACCTAGACCCACCACCTATACCCTACCCGACCCATAAGGTCTGGGAAGAAAAAAAAGAACATATGCATTATGTAGAAAAAATGCAAAATTAGAAGGTAGTTGATAAAGGAGAGTGTGTAAGACCTCTGAAACAAGACAAGTAAGGGCTTGAGTCATTATTTTGGTCATCAAGAACGGCGTCCATGGCAATGAATCCGTCAAACATGGTGAACCGGTGATTGTTAGGAGCATAAATCCGTTTAGTACTACTTCTTTTGAGCGACATTTGAGAAACTGATTGAAGTCCTGTTCAAATTGAGCCCAATAAGCTTCAGCAACTGGTTTGGGACTTGTTTCGGCTATGTGAGTGTTCCCCTTGTTTATTGACATGCCTTGATCATCATAAAGCCCGGGTGGAATCTGTACATATCTCAAATCGAGGTGTTAAAATTGACACGACTCAAAACAATTTGATGTAGTTTAAATTGACCTGATCTAGAATACAATTGGTATGGACACAAATATTTAACAAAAGGAAAATTTGTTAATTACTACCTCAGAAAGAGCTCCCTTGTTAATTACTACCCGTAAAAAAAAAGTTTCTAATTACTACCCCACATTCAACATAATTGCACCGATTACTACCCAAGTGCTATTTCCGGTGACTTAACTCAACATATGACGTCATAACCCAATTGTAACCACACACTAACCTAACTAAAGTTAAATAAACCTAATGGACCAGAAACTGAGAAACCCATGGACCAATAGTCCAATACATTTTCTGTTTATTTAATGTCAAGCTAACATTAACTTTGTCACGCATTATACACTTGCGTACATAGTTACATCTAAAAAACTAAGAAAAATATGTGGCCATTACAATGGTTGGAAATAATATGTTATAGACCCATTTTATTCATTTTGTACATTGAATCCTATAGTCTTTTTTTTTTTTTTTTGAAGAATTGAATCCTATAGTCTAATTGATCTGAACATGGGTCTGAACATTTTAGACCCGACTAACAAGGCAATATGTCAAGACCGAATTTGAGTTTGCATTAAAAAAAATGAGTTTGGGTCCATTGTAATATCTAACAGAGTCGCACAAATTTGACGTATTTCCATCTCTAGAAACAACTTATATATCACATTGAATTAGACAATCGATTTAACTAGCCACACATTAAATGTGGGACATTCTGCCACAACCACAACAAATCATTAAAGATAAAGAATGCTCAAAGTAAGAAAAAATAAAAAATCCACTTAACAAAATAACGAGTGTTTAACAATACAAACCTTAGATAACCAATGAAGAGTGTAATTGGAATGAACAAAGTGCAAAGTATTGTGAGGAAAAAGCACGTCATAATAGGAACCGGGCACACCCATTAAGAAGCAAACCGGCTCACCTTCATCCTTTCTTTTTAACACCTCCAAATTCAGCAAATCTTTAAACAATAAGCTAAAATCATTTGAGGGAAGGTCATTCATGTACATATGAAGTTTAGGCTGTTGATGAACTTCACTATCATGCTTCGATTCCTTGCACTTCCTTTGCATAATTTCTATCACCATTGATACTAGGGCCAATGGAACTTGTCCTACTCCACATCCCAAATCAGCTACATTAAGACCTTTAATTAAGCCTTTACTCTCCGAGATTAGAGATTGTATTGTGCTCTCTATTATGTGTTAGGTTCATTAACCACACTTCATTCTGTTATAATTGAACATGATTAAAATATAATTAACATTAGCTTAGCCCCGTGCCATGCATGGTAAGTCTAATTTATTTATTTTGTAAAAAAGTTAAAATAATTATATCTAATTTTATATATTTTTTTATGGTTAAAAAAAAGTAATTTTTTAATATCAATAATATAAATCAAACTTTTTGTTACTACTTTTTTCTGGAGAATCTAATATTACTCTATTTATCGAATAACTAAAAAAAAAGTTGAAATAATAGTTTAGGTAAATGAATACGGAAGAATAAAAAAGGAAAAGAGGGTTTTGGAGGGAAAAAACAGCACCAGAATGTGACATGTGTCACTCCCGGTGTCTGTTTTAGTATTAGCTAGCCTTATGGCCCGTGCAATGCACGGGTTATTCATATAAAATTGTATTGAGAGATAAGTGAGGAAATATCAGTAAATCATTATAGGGTATAATATGTAATCGAAAAAATTGCATTGAGAGATAAGTAAGGAAATATCAGTAAGTCATTATAGGGTATAATATGTAATCGGAAACGTGATTAAAGAAATTAAAATTTTGGAACTTTAATCGAAAAAGAGGCTTAAATAGAAGGTGGAATGAGTAAAATTAAAGAGAGAATAGGAAAAGGTTGAATCAAAGGGGAGAGATGAAGTGTGTATGAAAGATGAAGTATAAGTTTAATGAAAGAATTAAAAAAAAATGGTGTAATAATAAAAAATTAATAGTGTAAGATGACATATGACACTATGGTTAGAGAAGTGTAATAGAGTGGATAGTGACATGTGTCTTTCTTAGTATCTTGGTTATAGTTTTTAAATACTAACTAAGTATAGACTAAGTATAGATTAAGGTTATTGATTGATTATTCTTATGTAATTCATGCAAGAGAGGACAATTTTGATGATTATAACAGCGCCATATATATGTTTTTCTAAGGTAAGATACAATGACAGATTTGGTTCGTCTTCTTGCAAGACCAAAACCTAATCCATTTACCATATATGTGAAACCATGAATAATTGTATTTTACTAGCTCTCAAAATACCATGTTTTGATTAATTGTATTTTACTAGTTCTCAAAATACCATGGTTTGATTTAACCACCCGTTTTTTCTTTTACTTTATTTAACAACCCACACACTAAAACACAAAACTTTAGATTTCACTACCTCTTAATTAAAAAAATATCGATTTTTGTGTCAAAACTTGTTCTATTAAGGTTTTAGGGGTCACTGTGATCCTTTAGGTTTGATTTGAAGACAAAAAAGTATAAAAAAATGTTTCATTTTGTGTGTATCACACAAACCAATGTAGTTCTTAGCATGAAAACGAGACATTTCCAATAACTTTTTCAATTCTGATTTCAAATCGAATCCTTTTGCTAAAATGACTCCCACAACCTTAAAAGAGGAAGTTTTGTAACAAAAATCGATGTTTTTATATTAAAATAAATAAATAAATAAAATCTATTGTTAAGAGGTGGCAAAATCTAACATTTTGCATTTTTGTAGGTGATCAAATAAAAATAATTTTAAAAATGGGTGGTTAAATAAAAATAGGATGTTTTGAGGGTCGTAAATAAAATTATAAAAACATATGGGATTAATGTACAATTTTAAAGATTGGTGGACAACTAGACAAATAAGGTCAAAGTTTAATTTGTTTGGATTAGAACTATGCAATTTAACCCAATATAGAAAGAAGGCCCTAGTGAGCCAAACGAGACCCATTTTGAACGGGGTTTTATCCTGGCTGGGCTCATATGAGTCATATCAGCGGAGTGACGGGTAGAAAACCCACCCAAAGTCCCAAAATGGCAACTAGTAGCATTAAATTATTTATTATGAAATTATTAATATTGGTAAATAATTAAATACTTATGACCAACTGATCTGACAGTGCCTTTTTTGAGTAAAAAAATTTTCTTAATCAAATAATGGTTAAATATTGATAAATACTCTATTACTCAATATTTATAAATCATTTTTTTTTCTTATGGTCATAAGTACCTGTGAAAATGCATTAAAAGGGGTTAAATACATGTTTAAGTTAATCAAACAGAAACTTTTTTTTTCAAAAATAAAATAAAATCAATCAGAAAATTCGAGATAGATAAACCAAAATTACCTGGACAAAAGAATTCTGAGCATAACTGAGCTCCCCATCACCTTTATTCATATGAAGAAATTCATTAATTCCCATATGTATATATATATATATATATATATATATATATATATATATATATAAATATATATTCTAATATCTAGCTTCTCCTCTGTTTTTTTTTCCTTTCTGAAATCTCCACTATAAAATTGATATTCCTATTATGGCAAAAAAAAAAGTTATTTAAAGCAATTGAGTCTTCACTAATTAAGCTTTTTGTATTTTTATTTTTACACATGGGCCGGTACGGTAGGTGTTAAGATAATAATATTGTAAGTTTATGAAAATAATTATATAGTAACCTTGAGATACGCATGAATTATACATTATTTACAAATTGTCAAATTATAATAATGATCATGTAACATGCAATTTTAATAAATTATGAACTTATTAATTAAGAAATTGATCTAGTAGACATCATCGTCATAAATTATGAATTATCTTTAATTATTTATTATTTATTAGTTGTTTTTGCTGGTCAAAGTGTTAATTATTCTACATGATACTATGATAGCTGATGAATTATCTTAATTATACAATATTCTTATATTTAAATCAAATCATGCTATTTAATTATCAGTCATATACTCATATTGTTAAAATTTTACAGTAGTCTTTTTGAATTATAGGTTTCCAAAACTAACACATGTATGTCTCATATTAAAAAGAGACGAGAGTATGAGACTAGAAGAGAGTTAAACAATTCATAAGACTAAAAGCTACTCCTCATATCGCCATATGGAATTAGGATGAAACCTCTAGGGACTTGTATAGTGGACTCTCTAGCTATTTAGGTGATTGTGCGATCCAAACGGTTTGACGGTTCGGTTTGAAATCAGTTTGGTTCAAAAAAGGGTCGGTTTGAAATCGGTTTAAGTGCCCAGTCGATTTCGGTTCGGTTTATCATTGAGCAGTTTTAATTCAGTTCGGGTTGAAAATGATTTTGTGCAAACAGGTTGCGGTTTATTATTGTGCTAACGCGTCCTAGCTAGCCATATTTAGAGAGGCCTTTCAGTTGTTGGTAACATTGATGAGTGAAAATATGTATTAAAATAAAATGTTTTTAGGGATGTAAATGTATGTTTGCACACTTTTCTTAAGAGTTTAAAAAGAGGCAATGACATTAATGATGTCAAATATATATATATATATATATATATATATATATATATATATATAGAGAGAGAGAGAGAGAGAGAGAGAGAGAGAGAGAGAGAGAGAGAGAGATTTTCCAAACACTATTTATAAGAGTTAAATCATTAAATCACACAAGGAAAAGGTTATATGTAATTAACATTAGGATTTTTTAGATTTTAACACCTGATAAAAACGGAAAAATTGATATTAACACCTCCAAAAAAAAATTATTTTAACACCTCTTAAAAAAATTTAAATTAGAAGTTACCACCAGATAACGGATTCCGTGACGGCAAAAGTCTGTGGGCCCCAGCATTTGGTTTTACCTCCAAATTTCACCTAACAAAATACGAATCTTCTTCCTTCATTGAATACTCACCCAACTTCTTCATTCAATTATCTCTGAATCTTCATCTAATCAAAAAAATATTCAAAGGGCAAACATTTAAACCTAATTTTGAGTGGTTGAGGTCCAAAGCTAGGTGTCAACATTGCAGAAGAACAACTCAGTAGGTGTTCGTCATCTTCATCAAGAAAAAAGGGGCAAACTGCTGGAGATCTGACAAAGACAGTCGAAAGATTCCAAAGAAGGTATTTTTTTTTATCATCTTTGATTGTGGTGCTTGGTTGATGTCAAAATTGCAATTATATGCTGAATTAGGGTTACTTTTGGTAGAAGAGCATGAAACTAACCCTTGACAATTCAATTGACTATGCGAATTAGGTAAATTATTTAATTGACTTTGCGAATTAGGGTAATTGAATTATTTAATTGAGATTAGAGGTTATTTACAGTGGTTTATTCTTAATTAATTCATGGAGTACTTGAATTGAGTTTGAATTGTTTATGCAAAAATGTTGGAGTTGCTGCCTTTGCACTGCAAGTTAGATAATTAGGATAGATTTGTTTATTCTCTTAGTGTCATTGCGCATGCAATGTAATCATATAATGTTCAATTATTGAATGGGTTTTAATATTTGTTATCCTTTTTGACTGGTGGGTAGATAATGGGGGACAATGATGGCATAATTGACATTTGTCTTAGAGTTGGAGGTGCATTTGTTCCAAAAAGAGTAAGCAAAGATAGGCAGCTTCTTGTTTGGTGTGGTGGGTGGTGTTATTGGAAAAGGAAAGTTGAAGTGTCTAAGATGGATGTGCATTTGATTAGGACAGCTGCTATTCATGGGTTTGTTCAAGGGGATATCCCTGTTCCTATGCATTACAAATGTTGGTATAGGGAGAAGGGGAAAACTTCTAACAATGGGAAAAGGGAGCTAGTTAATAGTGAAGATATTAAGGGTCTTTTGGAGACAGTAAATGGTGAAGGGTATGTAGAAGTATTTGTAACAGTACCAACTACTAATAAGCCCACAAATGAGGCCCAACCTAATCCACCAAAGGCAAATAAAAAGGGCAAGAAGGGCACCACTGATACTATTGTCAGTGTGAGAAGGAGCCCTAGGTTTAGTAAGGCAGAGAGAGGAAAAGAGAAAGTAGCTGAAGTGGTAACTGAGAAGGGTAGGTTGAAAGGGAAAGGGTCAGCAAAGGC